CGATAGTAGCAATGGCCTCCACCCTAGTAGTCATGGCCTCCACCCTACTAGTCATGGCCTCCACCCTAGTATAGCGATGCCCTCCACCCTAGTATAGGGATGGCCTCCACCCTAGGCGAGCGATGGCCTCCACCCTAGTATAGCGATGGCCTCTAGGCTAGCAGCGATGGCCTCCACGCTAGTAGCGATGGCCTCCACCCTAGTGTAGCGATGGCCTCCACTTTAGTATAGCGATGGCCTCCACTCTAGTATAGCGATGGCCTCCACCCTAGTAGGTATATGGCCTCCACCCTAGTAGGTATATTAGTAGCGATGGCCTCCACCCTAGTAGCGATGGCCTCCACACACCCCAGTCATGGCCTCCACCCTAGTAGCTTCTTGTTACTAGTAATGCGATTCTGGATCTTTCGAGCTCAAGTTGCTGGTGTGCAAGGCTGACGGCAGAGCGGGGCAAAAAATGATGCGAGAGCGAGAGAACGAGAGCGAGTGTGACCGAGGCAGCCAGTGCCGGCTTCATCCAGGCTCGGGGAAGCGTCGGCTGAAGCCGTGGCCTTGCCGAACGCACAGGAGATGCGTCAGACCTTGCAGAAAGCACAGGAGATTACCCAGGTGATCTCTGAGGCCGGTGCTTTGGTCAGAGCCAGCAGTTTGATCTCGTGAGACTGAGTTTTGGAACCTTGTGAGCCACTTGATCTCGCCAACTTGTGATCCTTTTTTCCGGCCCTTTTGACCGACGAGGCCGAAAGCATTGCCGAGGATGCAACCAAGTTCTGCGAAGCCATCCAGGATCTTCCCGCCGGTTGCAGGTTGCAGGTGAAGCTGGTGAACCCCGATGACCCTTTTAACCAGCCAATGTAGCCAATGAAAAGAGACAGGCCACTGCTTTCCACTGAAGAAAAGGCACTAAGGGGCACGATGATGTGTTGATTTGGACATGATGTGAACTCTTAGGATGTTGAGACATGAACTGTCTCTTGCCACTTGGATACATCGGATGCCAGACCAAATCGGACCTTCTTCATCCTTCTTCCTTTTCTAGCAATGGCCGCCGAACTTAAGAGCCTCCAGGCGCAACACCTGGTCCAGTCGAAGAAGCTGGCACTCACTGGAAAGCCTCAGGCGACAGCGGCGACAGCCTGTGTCTTTGTCGCACCAGCGACGCCAGCCACGCCGTGCCGTGCCGGTGTGGACGACTCGTCGAAGAAACTGTCGAGTCGTTGGTGAAAGCCGTCGAGTCCTTGTTTCATCCCTTGTCGAAGTCAGCATGTAAGGGGCGGTAGTGTTTCAGTCCAAGCATAGTCCGTCTCACTTCATGTGACACTTTGAGCCGAGTGAGTAGCGAAGCAGTAGCTAAGCAGTGCCTCAAATCATTCCAACCGCAGCTTCTGATGCCGTTAATGAGTTAATGATGCTCATGTCATTTGAGTGAGAGCTATCCCTCAGGCAGCTGCGGTGCCATTGGCTGCCAGCCTGACACGGGAAATCCAAGCCTCTGTTGCTTTGAGCCTAGCGGGCCTAGCTTCTTAGGTCGCATAGTTCCACAAATTCAGCGCCTCAATGTTTGTTCCTTTTTAGTCCAGCATATTCTTCTTGGACATGTGATGATCTCCAGGTCTGGACGCAATCACTTCTGCAGATGCCGCACTGGCCAGTTTCTCTTGTCATAAAGCTGCAAGAACTCCACTTCAACCTAAACGGTTGGGTGCCATTTCTATCATTTAAAGCAAACTTAAGCAGAGCAAGATAATTCTAAGGGAAGGCTTTTGCTGAGACGGTCCTGCGTTCACACATTTTTTCAACCTTTTGGTTGCCTTTGTGCAAACATCTTTGCTTTAACCTTAGCCTTCCCTTTGTTCCCCAAACAGTGTGGGCACACTGAGGGGTTCTTACGGTAAGGGAAAAGCAGCTGATGCTCAGATCGCTGAAGCGCGCGGGCGTGTGCGGCTGATTCGCTGCTATTTACAGTACATTCATGACTCATGACTCTCGACATCGTCCATGTGCACTTCGACTGCGCAGGCTCGCTGAATCTGGGTGTCCACGGCGGGTGCTTCCAACGACTGCGCTCTCGTTGTGGTGCCGTGCGCATTTTTGCACATGGTGGTCACTTTTCGTGGCAGGCGCAGGGGAAACCTCGTGTTTCGACTTTTCGTGACAGGTGCAAGGGATCGGAGCTGTTTTGCTTCGTCATGCAGTTTTCGTGGCAGGTGCAGCACTTTGGACATGTTGGTGATCGTCGAGGAGCTCAGATTTCGTGACAGGTGCAGTGAATCGTGACTTTTCGACATGTGGCTCGAGTGCAAAAGCGTGGCAGGCACAGCAAACTGTGACTCACCCTCACTCTCACTCTTACTCTCACTCACACTCTCACCCACACACACTCTCACCCACACTCACTCTCACTCACACCCGCACTCACACTCACTCTCCCACTCTCACGCACACTCCCTCTCACCCACACTCACTCACACCCACCTTCACTTCATCACCACCATCACCTCTTTGGACCCCAATGCATCTAGATCTCTAGACTTTCTGCTTGCAGACCTCACACACACTGTTTGGGGTCTCTGGCCGGGATAATTTGCATTTTTTGACAACGTGACAACGTGTGTCAACCTCTAAATTGTTCCAAAGGTTTCCAAAACATAAACATGTGTGAAACTCAGAGAAGTATATTATATTAAGTTTCCGTAAGCATCTAGGAACCAAAGGAATAGTGTGCGAGCTATCCTGCGTCCGAAGTCATTAATAGCTACTTAAGCTACTAGCTACCTAGCTTCTACTACCTCTAGCGGCCTACCCCCAAGGTCCAAAAAGAATCTTAACATCATAGCAGGTGCAACATTGCCGAGAGTCCAGCATCTGTGGCGACCTGTCTTGAGAATTCCGACAGAGCGAGGTGAAACTTCGGTGAATGTAAAAAAAGTAATGTTTGAGGACAAGGGCTCAACGTTGCAGTTTCCTCAGTCTAGACCCACTGTGCAATAGAGGCTCGGTTCTTGGTCGACTTTAGACATGAACACAACAAGCGTTTTGGGATGAGTTTTCGAAGGTCCCATGATCCCGTGGACGAGATTTCACCTGCTGCGGACGCAAAAGCTTTGCACCTGGCGGAAGAAAAGGAAGCAACGTGAGAAGCCGTGATGAAATGCGGCGGAGCAATGCCAAACCGTTTTGGTATTTTTCGCGTGAAGTTCATGAAGCATGCTAAGCATGCCCCAACTCCAAAAAACAACTCTTCCTAGTGCACCTCCGTGAGTGCGCATGGCCCAAAGCGATCCGGTCCTCTTCCCCAGTCCACGCCTGGCCGTGTCGTTTCCTTGGGTTGCGCGGAATGATGTCGTTTAAGCAACGATCAGCGCAATAAGGATCCAATGATGTGGTGCAGTTTGCAGCTCAGATCACTCAGCCGTGTCAGAGAGGTACATCTCTTGATTTCAATACCTTTCACTTTCAACCTATCTTCTTGATGGTGCAGGGCACTCTTGGTGACACTTAGTTGAACTCCAAACCCTTTGGCCTGTGCAGAAAAATTGTCTCCCCTGAGTTGTAGGTCTTCTTGCCATTGTTGCCGTTGGTAGCATGGCTGCTCCATCTCTGGAGGTGAAGACGAGCGTTTTTACGACTTTTGGTAGACATGGTAGACATGACTCAACCTGCTTGATGTCCTGTGGTTTACAGGACGTTTCGGCAGACGCACATTGTGACATCTTTGACATTGGTCCACTTCTTTGTCAAGCTTCTCTCATGAGTGTCAGTGTTTGATTTTGCAAGTAGGTTGGTGGTTGACGTGATGCAAATTCTACGTGCTGTGCGGAAAACAGTTTTCGAAAACAGAGGAATCCCTACGGATCCTTTCCGTTTGAAAAACCGAGTTCTGAGTTTGGAGGCCGCCTTGGAGAGCGACACCGAGTGCACCTCTGAGAGCTGTGCGGCTTTGGCCAAAGGGGACGCGATTCCGAGCGGTCTGCACAGACGGCAAGGTGCATCACTAGGTTGGGGGCCATCGCTATTGGGTTGGAGGCCATCGCTATTGGGTTGGAGGCTATCGCTTCTAGGTTGGAGGCCATCGCTATTGGGTTGAAGGCTATCGCTTCTAGGTTGGAGGCCATTGCCAGAAGGTTGGAGGCCATCGCTATTAGGTTGGAGGCCATCGCTATTGGGTTGGAAGCCTAGGTTGGAGGCCATCGCTTCTAGGCTGGAGGCCGTCGCTAGTGATTAGGGAGGCCATCGCTTCTATAGGTTGGAGGCCATCGCTATTAGGTTGGAGGCCATCGCTTCTAGGTTGGAGGCCATCGCTAGTGATTAGGGAGGCCATCGCTATTAGGTTGGAGGCAATCGCTATTAGGTTGGAGGCCATCGCTATTAGGTTGGAGGCCATCGCTATTAGGTTGGACAATCGCTATAACAGGTTGGAGGCCATCGCTATTGGAGGCCATCGCTTCTATAGATGGAGGCCATCACTAGGTCGCTTCTAGGTTGGAGGCCATTGCTATTGGAGGCCATCGCTATTATTTGGTTGGAGGCCATCGATCAGTCGCTGTTGGGTTGGAGGCCATTGCTGTTCGCTTGGAGGCCATCACTAGTACCTTGGGGGCCATCGCAATTAGGTTGCGGGCCATCGCTAGTAGGTTGGAGGTCATCGCTTGTAGGTTGGAGGCCATCGCTAGTAGATTGGAGGGCATCGCGGTTGGAGGCTATCGCTATTAGGTTGGAGGCCATTGCTATTCCGTTGAGGCCGTCGCTATTAGGTTGGATGCCATCGCTATTGGGGTGGAGGCCATCGCTATATAGGTTGAGGCCATCGCTAGTATTTAGGTTGAAGGCCACCGCTATTAAAAGGTTGCAGGCCATCGCTATTAGGTTGGTGGCCCTCGCTATTAGGTTGGAGGCCATCGCTATTAGGTTGGAGACCATCGCTATTGGGTTGGAGGCCATTATACTATTAGGTTGGAGGCCGTCGCGACAAGGCTGGAGGCCATCGCAATTAGGTTGAAGGCCATCGCTAGTCGGTTGGAGGCCATCATTGCTATTAGGTTGAAGGCTATCGCTATTAGGTTGGAGGCCATCGGCACATTAGGTTGGAGGCCATCGCTATTGGGTTGGAGGCCGTCGCTATTGGGTTGGAGGCCATCGGTTGGAGGCCTTAAGCTATTAGGTTGGAGGCCATCGCTAGTAATTTAGGGAGGGCATCGCTGTTAGGTTGGAGACCATCGCTATATTAGTTTGGTGGCAGTCGCTTTTAGGTTGGAGGCCATCGCTATTAGGTTGGATGCCTTTGCTATTAGGTTGGCGGCCGTCGCTATTAGGTTGGAGGCCATCGCTATTAGGCTGGAGGCCATCGCTTGTATAGGTTCGGGGCCATCGCTTTAGGTTGGAGGCCATTGGGTTGAAGGCCATCGCTATTAGGTTGGAGGCCATGGCTCTAGGTATAGGTTGGAGGCCATTGCTGTTAGGTGGGGCCATTCCTATTAGGTTGGAGGCGCACGCTTTTTAGGTTGGAGGCCATCGCTATTATAGGTTGGAGGCCATCACTATTAGGTGGGAGGCCATCGCTATTAGGTTGGAGGCCCACGCTATTAGGTTGGAGGCCATCGCTATTGGAGGCCATCGCTATTGGAGGCCATCGCTGTAGGTTGGAGGCCATCACTATTAGGTGGGCGGCCATCGCTATTAGGTTGGAGGCTCACGCGGGCCATTGCTATTACGTTGGAGGCCATTGCTATTAGGTGGGAGGCCATCGCTATTAGGTTGGAGGCCATCGCTAGTAACTTTCCGGGCCGTCCGCGCAGATGGCAAGGTGCATCACTACTCCCCGTAGGCCCTCCTCTTCTAGGCCGTCGCTCCCTACAGTCCATTTCGTGGCTACGATGGCTTTTGCTTTCCTGACTGACGTGCACGCGCAGAAGGTTTGAGGATTTCTTCACCGTCCTACAAGTTTTGCGATTCATTCGAAAGAGCGAGGCTGTGAATGCCTTGCAAGTAGACTCGACCAAGACTCAGGCGAAGTTTGCTTTGGTGTTTTCTGTTTCGGGAAAAGTAGCATTTTCCCAATCCGAACGTCGCATCGTTTAAATGTTTTGTGGAACTTGCAAGGATAGCCTAAGCGCTGGTGATGGGTGAGGCGGCCAAGGATTTGAATCTGGAAGCTTGCAGTGCAACAGTCATGTTGAGTTTTTATTTACAGCTGAGGGCGGTGCACTGCCTTTGCAAGGATCGAGAAGACAAGCAACTTGGGTAGTGACTTTTAACATGTTTGGATCAATTTTGTCTCAGCTTGTTTCGCTGCGATCTGCCTGACTGTGAGCCAAGGTACTACTGCTCAAAGTCGTTTGCAGGCTTCAGCAAATGCTATGGGCCCTGTCCTTCACTCTGCACAGAAACAGGCCCAGCTTGCAACTCCCAGCCAGTCAAGCTATACAACTGACTCAAGTTTTTCTTTTTTGCGGCGAGAGCGGTAGGCGGAAAGTTTTATATGTGTGGTGGAAAGCATGAGAACCTTTGGCTGGACCGCTTCTTTAAGAACCAGGACAGACACGGCAGGTGCCATGTCGTGGACCGATGAAAGAGTGGATCATTCACTTTACTTTAGAATTGCGATGGCCTCCAACCTAATTACGAGCGATGGCCTCCAACCAACTAGCGATGGCCTCCAACCTAATTACTAGCGATGGCCTCCAACCTACTAGCCATGGCCTCCAACCTACTAGCGATGGCCTCCAACGTACTAGCGATGGCCAACCTACTAGCGATGGCCTCCAACCTACTAGCGATGGCCTCCAACCTACTAGCGATGGCCAACCTACTAGCGATGGCCTCCAACCTACTAGCGATGGCCTCTAACCTACTAGCGATGGCCAACCTACTATCCAACCTAATTACTAGCGATGGCCTCCAACCAACTAGCGATGGCCTCCAACCTAATTACTAGCGATGGCCTCCAACCTACTAGCCAAGGCCTCCAACCTACTAGCGATGGCCTCCAACCTACTAGCGATGGCCAACCTACTAGCGATGGCCTCCAGCCCCTCCAACCTACTAGCGATGGCCAACCTACTAGCGATGGCCTCCAACCTAATTACTAGCGATGGCATCCAACCTCCTAGCGGTGGCCTCCAACCTAATTACTAGCGATGGCGTCCAACCTCCTAGCGGTGGCCTCCAACGTAATTACTAGCGATGGCCTCCAACCTACTAGCGATGGCCTCCAACCTAATTACTAGCGATGGCCTCCAACCTAATTACTAGCGATGATGGCGTCCAACCTCCTAGCGATGGCCTCCAACCAACTAGCGATGGCCTCCAACCTACTAGCGATGGCCTCCAACCTACTAGCGATGGCCAACCTACTAGCGATGGCCTCCAACCTACTAGCGATGGCCTCCAACCTAATTACTAGCGATGGCGTCCAACCTCCTAGCGGTGGCCTCCAACCTAATTACTAGCGATGGCCTCCAACCTAATTACTAGCGATGGCCTCCGACCTACTAGCGATGGCCTCCAACCTAATTACTAGCGATGGCCTCCAACCTACTAGCGATGGTCTCCAACCTAATAGCAATGGGAAGCGATGGCCTCCAACTTAGAAGCGATGGCCACCCTAAGTACTAGCGGTGGCCTCCAACCTAATAGCGATTGCCTCCAACCTAATAGCGATGGCCTGCAACCCAATAGCCGATGGCCTCCAACCTAGAAGCGATGGCCTCAGACCTATAGCCATGGCTTCCGACCTAATAGTGATGGCCTCCAATAGCGATGGCCTCCAACCTAATATAGTGATGGCCTCCAACCTAGAAGCGATGGCCTGCAACCAAATAGCGATGGCCTCCAATCTAGAAGCGATGGCCTCCAACCTAAAAGCAATGGCCCGCAACCTAGAAGCGATGGCCTCCAACCTAATAGCGATAGCGTTCAACCTGCCTACTAGCGATGGCCTCCAACCTAATAGAGCTGGTCTCCAACCTAGTTCCGATGGCCTTCATCCTAATAGCGATGGCCTCCAATGGCCTCCAACCTAGAAGAGATGGCCCCCAACCAAATAGTGATGGACTCCGAACCTAATAGCATCCAGATGGACTCGAAGGGATGGCCTCCAACCTAATAGCGATGGCCTTCAACCTAGAAGCGATGGCTTCCAACCTAATAGCGATGGCCTCCAACCTAGAAGCGATGGCCTCCAACCTAGAAGGGATAGCCTCCAACCTAATAGCAATTGCCTCCAACCTAAAAGCAATGGCCTCCAACCTAGAAGCGATGGCCTCCAACCTAGAACCGATGGCCTCCAACCGAATAGCGATGGCCGTGGCCTCCTGCCTGGAAGCAATGGCCTCCAAAAGCGATGGCCTCCAACCTAGAAGCGATTGATTGCTTCAACCTAATAGCGATGGCGTCCAACCTTAGAAGGGATGGCCTCCAAACTAATAGCCATGGCCTCCAACCTAGAAGCAATAGCCTCCAAACTAGTAGTGGTGCCATCACTTTACTTTAGATTGCTTTAGTCTTGTAAGGGCAAAAACCCTGGATCTGAAACATTGGAGCACGTGCAGGAGGAGCCGAGCATGAAATGCAAGCTCGATCCAAAAGATGAACAATAAGGGGTGAGAGCGGTGACTGTAGGCCTTTTGTTCCAGCAGATTCCAGTCAAACCGACATGGAAAGCAAACTTGAACCGCTCGAGACAGAATGGTGGTTTGCAGAATGCAACAGAAAGTTCGCACCTTTCGATGCCCAATACTGTGTGGCAAAACGCCAAATGCAAAAAGGGACGCTCAAAACTCAAAACTGCTGATTCCAAAACTCTTGGCTGGTGTTTGCTGGTGTTCCTCCGCTTGCGCAGAAGCCGTTTAAGTTGCCATTTCCTTCCCGAGGGGTTTCTCAGTTTCTCTCCACTTGCTGATGATGGACGAGGAGATGCCAGATGCTATGGAGGACGACTATGATGTGCAGGCCTGAGGTCCTTTACAAAGGTCGTGGTTTTTTTTTCAATCTTCCTCTCTTGGCTTTTCGAGTGAGACCCAGGAGGAAATGGGTGACGACGAGTAACTTGCTCAGCTGAAGGAATGAGGGGTTTAAAATTGAGGTCCAGCCAAACCTACTCTTGGAGTAGGGAAGAGCAGACCGATCTAGCTTTTGCCAAGCTAGCAATGAGCTCCCAGAAGCCAGGCCTGATGAGCTCCCAGAAGGGATCACAAAAGAGATCCTCACGGCCGCACCAGAGCCACTGGGTGGATTTGGAATGATTTGGCGCGAGAACTCGAGCGTTCAAATAATAGCAAAGGCCTCCAACCTATTAGCGATGGCCTCCAAACTAATAGCGATGGCCTCCAACCTAATAGCAAAGGCATCCAACCTAATAGCAAAGGCCTCCAACCTAATAGCAAAGGCCTCCAAACTAATAGCGATGGCCCCCAAACTAATAGCGATGGCCTCCAACCTAATAGCAAAGGCCTCCAACCTAATAGCAAAGGCCTCCAACCTAATAGCAAAGGCCTCCAAACTAATAGCGATGGCCTCCAACCTAATAGCAAAGGCCTCCAGCCCAATAGCAGAGGCCTCCTCCAACCAAAATAGCAAAGGCCTCCAACCTAATAGCAAAGGCCTCCAACCTAATAGCAAAGGCCTCCAACCTAATAGCAAAGGCCTCCAACCTAATAGCGAAGGCCTCCAACCTAATAGCGATGGCCTCCAGCCTAATACCAAAGGCCTCCAACCTAATAGCGATGGCCTCCAAACTAATAGCGATGGCCTCCAACCTAATCATGAAAGGTAGCCTGGTAAGGACTACCTTGAGTTTGCTTTGCGAAGCAAAGGGACTGGCTTGAGAGCCTGCTCGGGACCAAAGATTGATAGATCAATGTCCCCCCCCTCCCCTCCCTCCCATGTGATGATTCATTGATCAATGAATTGTTTTGCACCCCCCTCCCCTCCCCTCCCCTCCCCTTGAAATGTAGAGGCCTACTTGTACAGGTTCCACTCCAGTGGCCTATCTAGTGTGTCCATGCTTGACTGCCATAAGGCTCAAGAGGATAAGACTCTGCGTATAAAAGACACTAGCGGTCTGCACCTCAACCGTGTACGCCCTAGTCACTCTTTCAGTGGTAGCGGAGCAGTGATCCTGGAAGACCCAGGTGAGCTCTTTTCCTAGGCATAGACTTGCTTTTAGGCAAACGGCCATGGATTGGATTGACGACTGGGAAGAGCCTGATGCGGATGTGGCTTATGAGCCAGCAGCCTATGTGAATAGGCATGTGAGAAGAGAACCAGCAGCTATAGCAATGACAACACAGGTCACTACAAAGGTGCCCCCATCTTATGATGGAAAGACTTCATGGTTTTCCTATGAGGATGCCATAGACGATTGGTGTGATATCACCGAGCTGGAGGATGAGAAGAGAGGACCAGCATTGAGAAACAGATTAGAAGGAGAAGCAGCTGTATACAAACGTGTTCTAGACAGAGATGCATTGAAAGCGAATGATCCACCAGGAGCTGGAGTAGAATACTTCAAACGAGTACTACGACCATATTTTGTGAAAGGATCAACCAATGTATTCCTGTATAGGTTTATGCAATTCGTGCGCTTCAATCGCGGATCAGCCGACATGATGAAGTGGATGACAAGATTTCAGATTTTACTCCAAAGGCTTATGAGCAGTTGGATGGACATGTTGGATCCAGTAACACAAGTACATCCTCAGGTACAAGCTCAGATGCAAGCTGATGCAGCGATGACTGGAGTAGCTCCAACAGCGGAAAGAATTCAGGAAATCATGCAGAATGTCAATGGCAATCTGAGAATTCTTCATCAGAACGATTTTCCTTTAGGAGAAAATCTCATTGCCTTACTCATGCTGTCACTTGCGGATTTATCTCAGGACCAGAGGAACACTTTGACCTCTTTGATGACTCATCGTGGTAGAGTCCCACAGCAATACACCACAACAGAGTTGAGGACAGTTTTCATTGAGATGTTCTGCACAACAAAGACTTCAGTAGACAATCCTCTGATGCAGCCAACAGGTGCTGGAGGTAGAAGATCATTTCTCGTATTAGACGAAGGAGAACTCGATGGTACATATGGCTATTGGGCCGAAGATGAAGAAGATGGAACAGAAGGATTCCTTGATGCCCTGGACGATGTCTTTTGGGTATATGATGAACAGAATTTCTCTTGGTTCCAGAGGAGATTCCAAGGAAGAAGAGCCAGAAAAGGCAAAGGAAAAGGTAGAAGAAACGGAAAAGGCAAAGGAAGATCAGGCCGCAGATTTTTCAGACCTCGAGGTAAAGGAAAAGGAGGAAAGAGACGAGGTAAAGGCCATTATGCTGATGAGCAATCGACAACTTATCCAGATGAGTATTTTGAAGAGAATCCTTATGAGGACACTTGGGAGTCAAACCAAGTAGCATATGATGCTATTCTTGCCGAAGATATGAATGACTATCTTCAAGGAGAACATGAAGATGCCCATGACTTTTGGCAACAACTTGAAGAAGCATGGTTTTCCCACAAAGGAAAAGGCAAGAGAAAAGGCAAGAAAGGAACAGGAAAAGATAAAGGAGATGGCAAACAAGATGCAAACTATGCAAATCAACAACAGCCACGTTCTTTGCCTGCACCTTCAAGATCTTCACAAGCATCAGGAAGCCACCAAGGTTTCTTTGCGCATTGTGTGACAACAGCAGCTGAATTCCATGACAGTGAGGTGAACTTGCTGTCAGGCATGATGACCTCATGTCAAGATGAAGCTGACTGTAAGGTCAACAATGGTGAGATGATCTTCGATGACATGATGCCCCTGTGAGGTACTCTTTGTCAAAGGAGATGCTTACAGATGCTCCTGATGGCTTTGCGCTTATGAGCGCTGAGGAAGAAGTGAAAGAGATGCAGGCTATTTCATTTTTGACTGAGAATCGCTTCCCTCCAACTATTGCAATCCTGGACATTGGATGCACTAGAGCTATGGAATCAAGGCGTGCAGTCGATTATTTTTGTAACTATGTCGACAATCACCCAAACTGTGGACTATGGTACTCTTTTGAGTCTACCAAGAGCAAGTTTTACTTTGCCAATTCTCAGAAGGCTTCTTGCTCTCAGAAACTGGTGATTTACATGTATGATCGTGCATGGACGATCCACAATACAGAGTTCGACATAGTTGAAGAAGGAGAAGTCCCTTTGCTTATGAGCTTGCCACAGATGAGGAACTTAGGCTTTGAACTCAGGCTGACACCTCAACATGCTTACCTGACATCGGTGCCTCTTGGTATCAAATTTTTGGAGTTGAAGGTTGCAGCCAGTACTCATCTTGTTTTGGACTTCCAAGATATTGCATGGTATCTGTCTGACGTGCGTTTGCAGGCTCGGCGCGAGAAGAGCTTTTACTCTCACTTCACTCACTATGAATATGGCCATATTTCGGTTGATCACAATAGTGATGAAGATGAAGCTGAGCATGCATATCCTGTGATTGACTACTGGGAAGTAGATCTTCACAAGAGAGAACTGACACGTCACCACAAGGATTACAGGAAGATTCTTTTCCCAGCAACTAAGTCCTGTCCTGTAGACACTGACTTGCTGGAAGACTTGCGACTGACAATCATCAAGAAAAAAGAAGGAGGAGAGGAGATCAAGAAGATAGATGATTGGCGCAAGGCAAAATGGAAGGACCTACAAATTGGCTATGAATGGCGTGGTAGAACAATTTTTAAGTTCAAGCCAGATGCCAAAATTCCAGATCTAAAGATCAGGAAAGCTGGCATTGAGCACCGTGGCATTGGCGATCCCGATGCAGTGGTGCGCTCCTCCTCAGAGAAGGTTCCCATTGCAAGGGACAGGGAACCAGGCTTCTCGTCAGAGAAGGAAGGTGCACCATCCAGTGCCGCGGAAAAGCCCGTGCCGCCAAAGTTTCGGTATACTTCCAAGGGTTATGATCCATTTTGGAAGGGACACAAGTTGAAACCATCTGAGCCCTCACATGATTTAAAGGGTGATGATCTTGAGGAGTATACTCCCTCAGAACCACCTGAGAGGCCAGAAGGTGAACTTGTAGAAATTCCTAAAGCATCAAGAGGACCATCAAGTGATAAACATGAACCACTTGAACCAGGTGATGGCGCTCTTGAGCCTAGGCGGATTTCAATCCCATTACCTGGTAGTGAAGTTGTTGCAATGACACCGGCATATAGGAAGATGTTGCAGAGACTGGAGGACAAGGTAGAGCTTTATAAGCTTCATGTGAAGCACTACCATATGAGTCCTACTCAGTTTCGTAGACGTGTTTCTATGTTGAAGCTTCCTGACTCTGTTTTAGAGAAGTATGAATCAGTTGTCAGGAACTGCCGTGTTTGTAACGCTTCAGTGGCACCTCCGCCACGAGCCAGAGTCTCCGGTATTAGAGCTTCATGTTTTGGTGATGTTGTTTTTGCTGATCATTGTGAGGTTGAACTTCACAAGAACAAGTATATCATTCTACTTGTTCTTGATGGTGCCACAAATCTTCTCTGGGCTACGGCGCAGAAAGACCTCATAGATCAAACCACCATCCAAGCATTGAGACAATGGTCTGATGAGAACAATTGTGTTCCGAAGGCCATCGTAGGAGACGAAGCCTTTTTCACAGATGCTTTTGTTGAATACTACAGGTTTCATGGTATACAACAATGTCCTTGTGGGCCAAGAACTCCTTGGCCGAACCGAGCAGAGACAGCTGTACGTTTGTTCAAACGTATGTGGCATGTTATGAAAGTAGATCTGGATGACCCACGTTTTCGTGGTGTTACGGTCAGAGAAGTGGTCAAGAAAGTAGTGTGGGCAAGAAATTGTCAGTTGACTATCAGTGGCTATTCACCAATAGAGATAGCAACTGGAAGACGTCCACCAGATCTTTTTGACCTTGAGACCGCAAGCCCTGAGCAATTGTCAGCTAGTGCAGCCGCACAAGATCGTACAAATCTGGAACTACAACGTGTAGCTTTGAGAGCTCATCAAGAAGCACGACAAGCTCAGGACCTTCGAGCAGATCTTGCAAGAAGGACTATGCCAAGTGACGGTCCCTATTTCCAAGGAGAGAAGGTTTTTATTTGGACTCAGGATTCATCAAAGTTCAAGGATAAAGGACGTTGGGTTCGTGCCACAGTACTTGGACAAGAAGGAGCTATGGTCCAAGCCAACACTGGTAAGGCAGTAGTACGCGTGAATCAGTCGAAGGTTAGAC